AAAAAACTAGACATAACTTTGCTACACAAACAAAGATAAGAAAGTGAGAGAGTCGAGCGATGCTTTTATTATGAAAAAAAAATCTCAATCTACGTGTAATATTTTCATGGCGAAACAATAACAACGAGGATCATTGTCGAGAAAAATGTGCGAGAAACTAATAAATTTAAATACGAAACGCGACTCGATTCGGAGCACTAGTTACTATAATAGTTACCTTCTCGCGCGCCACCAGTAGTGGCGCGATATTACTATTACATGGTGGCAAATAAATATTTCAAAAGATGTTAATCTATGTCACATACATAATCGGTGCACTAAACTGTAAGCCGCCCCTCGAATTAGCATTTCAAATATCTCGGTCATGAAAATCACACATTCAACGGGTGAAAGAATGACAAACACATCGTTTACAAATATCGAAAAGTGTCTCAATCATGATCGTGCATGTTAATAGACGTAGTCAGATAATCGTCCGTTTAATTCGACACTCCCGGTTACACGGATTTCACTTTCGACGAATAAAAATACGCGAGCGCGCGAGCGTAATTCACCTTCGCGACCGCGCTTATGCGAAGGGACTGACACGATTACGGAAAATTTAGGCGGGTTGGGTAGGTAGGGAGGGGGAAATAACACGTCACCGAACGTCTCGGTAGAAGCGCGCAAAAAAACTAGCTATAACTTTACAACATAAACAAAGGTAAAAAACTAAGCTCGAGAAAACGAAGCGCTTTTATTATAAATTCGCGATCCATTTTCACTCTCGAAGCGATAATATAACGAAATTGTTGAACACAGTATATGTGAGAATACGATAAATTTAATTATAAAACGCGACACAAATTCGGAGCACTAATTACATCTCGCGCGTCATCATAATAGCGTGAAATTATTATATACGTCATAAGTAGATTATTTACATTTATATATAAATTATTATATATAACAATATAGGCGCTATAAATTATTATATATGACAATATAAGTAGATTGTCGACACTTATATACTGAAAAGTGCGTTAATCGATGCGTATCAAAAGTGCATAAATTACTCTTCAATTCAGCGTTTCGAATATTCACTTTCACACGGAATACACTTTTACACAGATAAAAAGGCGCAAAAAATATGGAAAGAGCGTAATTCAATATCTTTGCATTATTGACGATAAAGTTACGGAAAAAATAAAAAGGATGAAAAGTACATACGTCATGAAACACTCGCCATAAATAAAAATAAGAAAGAGAGACGCTCGATCGGTTTGTACAGAAACGTTTGACCAATCGGGAGAGGAGAAGCGAAGGTTGGTCCTGATTGGTCAATCATGCAGCACTTTATCCGACGAATAATTTTCAATATGAAAGTGCATCACGCGTTCCACACTTCATATTATAATTTATATTCTCGCAAGTGTTAATCATAACCTTATTTAATTAAATCTTATTGAGTCGTTTAATTATCACGGTAAAAACTGATCGATTTTCAATAGTATCGAGATTCGCTTTCTTATCTGTCGAGAAGGGATTCTCGCGTAGGACGTTTCTTGGAAGAGACGCGTTCGCTTCTTTCCTAGAAGAGACATTCGACGACGCGTTCCTCCTCCCCACCTATCCCACTAGCCTAAATTTTCCGTAATTCTGCCAGTCCCCTCACGCTGCTATGAGAGTGAATTACTCTCTTTCCGTGTTTTTCGCGTCTTTTTATCTGTCGAAAATGTATTGTGCAAACGAGTGCGGAATCGAACGATTATTTATAAGTGTTATTAATCCGTACAATTTCGATCGTATATCTTTCGATATAATTTCTTTATATATTCCGTCTCATTTTATCCACAGAAAAGCGAATTTCATTTGCAAGCGAATATTTTATGTCGGGAGAAGGATAGTTTATACGCATCGATTACACAATAATTATTAATCCATTTTTAAATATATCGGTAAGCATTGAATAACCTATTTGCTGTCTTATAAAGTAATGAAGTTACAATGGAAATATAATTATTGAAAAACATCGCTCTTCATATTTCTTCTTTAATATTTCCATAGTATTTTTTTAAGTATAATTCTTTTTCAACTACATAATTTTATCAAATATTAATCGAAGTCGGTCGAGCCTTTCTTATATTTATTCATATCGAAAGGTTTTTTACGGTTTTTTTATATTCAACGATGTATTTTTTACTATTTAATCAAACTATATTTTTTATAACCTCTCTCCTATCAATCCTTTCGCCAGTACGAGGATGAATTACGCTCTTTCTGTATTTCTTTTTATCTGTTACAAAAGTATACTTCATATATAAATATCAGAAGTGCCGATCGAATAACGGGCGATTATCCGAGTGCGTCTATTAAGCTACATGATTATCATAATTAAGGTATCTTTCGATATTCGTAGACGGCAAAATATATTTCTCGCATTTTTTATTTGTCAAAAATAAATTTTACGTGTGACTGAATATCCGAAATGTCGAATTGAGAGGTAGATTTGAGATATTGATTATGCACTATCAATTAACACGTTTTTCGATTTTACAGTACCGAAATAATCTATTTGTTTGCCACATGTATTATAATAATTTCGCGTTATTATGGCAACGCGCGAGAGATAATTAGTGCTCTGAATTATGTCCCGTTTCATAATTAAATTTATTATGTTCTCACACAGAATGTATGAGAACATATTAAATTCAATTCAACAATGTGTCCGTTGTACTATCGTTTGCCGTGAAAATCGAGATTTCATAATAAAAACATTGCTCTCTCTCTCTCTCTCTCGCGCGCGCGCCGCGCTTTCTTATCTGTGTTATGTTGCGAAGTTGCCTGACTTTTTTTGTGCGGGAGTCGTTCATTGGCGCGTGCCCCCTCCCCACCTACTCAGTCAGCCTAAATTTTCCGTAATCCTGTCAGTCCCCTCGTGCCCTCGCGCCCTCGCGTTAACTCTAGTAAGAGAGTGAATTTCGCTTCTTGTCGCGTTTCTTTTTCCGTCGAAAATAAATTTCAAACGGATATCGGGAGTGTTGAATCGAACGACGAGTGATTATCTGACGACGAAGTGTTTGTGTTTATTGACCTGCACGATCGTGATTAAAGCATCTTTCGTAAACAAGATTCCTTCGCATTTCTCGCGTCTTTCTGTCTGTCCAAAGTAAACTTCGCGAGTGAACGAATATCCGAAATGTCGAATCAAAAGAGACAGGTTAGTCTTGACATCGGTTAACAGGTTTTTCAATATATTTAAAAGCGTCAAAATAACCTATTTGTGCCGCCATATTTGATAATAATATCGGGGCCATTGGTGGCGCGCGAGAAGGTAACTAGTGCTTCAAATTGAATTGCGTTTCGTATTTAAATTTATCGTATTTTCACACAGTTTTCATAGTGATTCCCGTTGTTCTATTGTTTTGCCATGAAAATAGAGATCGAGATTTTATAACAAAGCTTTGCTCGAGCCGCGCTTTCTGATTTTTGTTGCAAAATTATGCGCAATTGCCCAGTTTTTTGCGTGTTTACATGTCCGATGACGCGTCTTCCTTTGCATTCCTATTAAATCTGCCTAAATTTTCCACAATCACGTCAGTCCCTTTACGTTAGCGCGAATACAAAAACAAATTGCGATCGCGCTTTGTGTTTCTCGCATCTTTTTATCTATCGGAAATGAATTCCGCGTACAAATGAGCGAGAGTCAAACAATCGCGACGATTATCTAAGTGCGTCTACTATTTGCACGATCGTGATTAAAGCATCTTTCCATATTTATAAACGATAAGATTATTTCTTCGTATTTCTCGTGTCTTTTTATATCCATCGAAGGTGAATTTCGCAACGAATATCCGAAATTTTAGGAACCAGGAAACAGTTTATGGTTTTGATGTATCGATTATGTAATATATACACTGAGGGAAAAATTTTTTTAAATCAAATAAATTTGTTTTCTTGAAACTTTTGCTTTAAATGGAAGAAATAGTTTATTTCATTTAAACAAAAGCATTTAATTTTAATTAAATATGCATGTTATTAAGTACATTATTTTCATTTATATATTTTTATATTTAAATACTACTTTCGTAAAATATATACTATAATTTATTGAATAAAATATATTATTTTTTTAAATTAAAAAATTTAAAACTTTTGGGAATAAAAATTGCATTTTAATAAATATTTTATAAAATTAAAATATAAAAATATTTAATTTAAAAAAAATATATTTTTTTAAGCATATATATTTTTTTTTAAACATATGTAAATAAATACTTAACTTAAGCAAACAGACGTTTTGAATACAAGTAAATACGTGATTAGTATTCACCGAATAAATAGCTTTCTTGAGTTAACTAAAATTTTTTAATTTCAAGATAATTTTTTCCTCAGTGTAATGATCAGTTAATACATTTAATATGTTTCTAAACATTGAAATAATCTACTCGCTGAGTTATAAAATAATAAATGATAATAAATATCGCATCGTTAGTAAAAAAAAAATACAATTAGAGAAATACATTCCATACATTCTACTTTAATATTCTTTCAAAATGTCGTCTTTTTTTATATACATAATTTTATCGGATCGCGAAAATGTCGCTCGTGTTAGTTTTATTTATCTCGCGAAGGATTTCTCGCGCGTGGATTTTTTCTCGGAAGAGACGCGCTCGCTTCTTTCCCCGAAAGAGATATTCGACGACGCGTTTCCTCTCCTCCTCTACTCACCTACCTTCCTGGATTTTTTTCTGTAACTGTTACACTCGTATTAGGTTTAATTACGCTCTTTTCGCGTCTTTTTATCCGTCACGAGTATATTTCGTGTGTTAAATGGGAGTATCGTGAATGCTCGAGGTCACGGGAGATCGTCTCATTGTCGATAAATTTATTAGTCCACGTATATAATAATGTGTCCTTTGACAATCGGCGTCGAAATAATCTACTCGCATTACATATGGTGGATTTGGAAACACGTGTGAATTATCGATTAGTGAATTAGTGATAAGTGTATCAGTGTACAGTGCAATTAATAGACTGTCTCATCGTTTGAAGCAAAGGGAGCAACCGGAAATGGAAGGGATCTCTCTTGGTAAACAGATGCGGAAAGAAGTGAGGCATTCAACGACGGTGAGTGAAATCAATTATTATACATTTATAATTGTCAATTTATTTTTTATTTTCTGAAAACAATGGTATTAGAAATCGGATTATATTTTGATTAATAATTTATAATTATTTACAATTATATCCGGTCGTCTATTTTAGTCCCGATTATTTATTCTGTCATTCATCATTGATGTTTACCGATGACTCAATAATTGTAATCGTCGAGCGCATTAACTTTACCAGCGTATTTGATTAGCATTCGATCGTAATCCGATTACATTTTATTCAACTCCGATCATTAACGTGTATCTTGAACGTCACTCCTCGCGAGCGATACAAATCGTCGAACCTTGTACATTAGTTAAAATGAACAACGTTCATTTGAAAAAGACGCGAGAAAGGAACGGTGAAATTAATGCGCTTTTAAAGCTTAAATTACATCGGCGCGCGAACAAAAGGCATTAAGTGTATTTGCATGGCGGATACGCATGCATAAATACATTTGCATATTTACGATATATTTACATTCGCGTGCGCGCGCGCGCAGGCGCGCGTGACAGATTCAGTTATCGCACCCGGTATCCGCGAGCCGCGATAATGTCGCTATCGATGTCGCGTATGTAGATACCGAGCGGAATTAAAAAGAGCCGGAATATAAAGATCGCACGCCGGGACGGCGATCGGAGGTGCTCGCAGGAGAGACGAACGTTAATGATTGCGTAACAGCCGGCGTTTCTCGGCTCTTACGCAACGGCAAAAAATTATGCAATGTTTCAGCGAAAAGTCTGCGTTCGTCAAGACGCACTTGGAGCGTACGCGCAATTATTGTCGAGGAAATAACGTAGGAGCGCACATAGTTGCGCCTCGATCGAGTCATTTTAATGCTCGCTTATTTGCTTATACACACGTGTACGTAAGCAGGATTTAAACTCGTTGATCTCGAGATAGGAGCGAGAGATTCTGCTCTATCTCTCTCTCTTTTCCGCGTCTTCGATATGTAATAATATGTAATAATAGATTTAAAATATATAGGAAATATGTATAGAGAGAGTTTAAAATAGCTCGATTGAAAATTATATTTAGACTTTAAGTATGCATTTGTTTTTTAACATGCCGTTTTTATGAGATACCAGGTATTTTGCATATAACTTATATTTAAATTCTATATTTAAACGGCTCGGTTAAAGTGCATTTCTCTGTCCCCTAATATATTTCATTTTTCTTCTTATGATTATCGAGCAGTTTGACGAGGCGTAATAAAAATAATCGAGAAGAAGCTTTTAATAATATAAAATTTTTAAATAATGTTTTGAAAAAAAAAATGATTAATTTCTCAAGCAGAGTAGGGAAAAAAACAAATTCAAAAGGCAACATTTTTATGTTCAGTAACGTACACTCGTGGTATAATCTAGTTATATAAATATAATTATTCCAAATGTCTTTTTTAGTTATAGTTCATTTTTATATAACGCATCTTTACAATGTTGCCTTTTTTAGACTGTAAATTTCAGACGAATTCTTCATGCTTTTCACGGTAAATCAAGGCGCGATAAATTTCAGAATAAAACGAAGCGAAGCGAAATATTTTTTATGCTATCACGTTGCATTATAACATTCATTCCGTTAATCCGTTCCAAATCTTGAATATTCATTATCGAGTTACGTGTTAAAATACCATTCAATTCTTGTTCCCTTGAACGGTTTATTCTACATCGTTGAGTTGTCGGACGGCTTCCTTTTTTCCTATTCTTTTTTTTTCGTTCCACGCGCGACCAAAGATAATAATTAGCCTCGACTGAAATAAAGCCGGCGCGAGTCTACGGAAAGTCTTGGGCAAGTCGGACCTGGAGTCGTCGAAGCCCGAGCATTACGACATTAACGTAGTGTGTGCAGGCTCATTCCGCTAATCTTGCGTAGGCACGCATGTTGCTCGTGCTTGTCGGAAACGCGACATCGTCGACGTCGCTCGTCACGGAACAAGAAGGCCTTACGTGGTTGCATGCGCGCACACGTACGCACACACACATACGCACGCACACATACGCACGCACACGCACGCAACATCGTAAGCGCGCGCATACGATACGCATACGTTGTACGATGCACGAGGCGTAAACCTCACGACGATGTCGTACCTCGAATTAAAGCGCGTATTTTATCGGCACAATTTCGTCGCTCATCCAATACTGTCTCCCTGAAAATTGGGCAATTTTCAAAAGTCAAAGAACGCCGTCGAAAGATTCTTCGCGCCTCGCTGTTTAACCGCGTTTTTTTTTTATCGCTTATAACACGCACACACTTGACATATTATCATAGCCCTGGATGGCTATCGATTACATTCATACATTATAATAAAGTGCCTTGCATGCGTTTCATTATAAGATAATGATAAGTTTGTTCTCTTTTTCCACCTGCACTTTAAACGCGGTTTATTTTAATTTAATTTTTTTAATTTAAATTTTGTACCTTTTCCATTTTTATTATTTTATTATTCTTGAATTTTTTTTATTATTTTATTATTTTTGAATTTTTTTTATTATTTTCAATTTTGCCGAAAGCGTCAACGGGCGAGTAGAATTGCAAGTATCTGATGATTAGAATAAAATTTTCAATTATTCATGTGCGACGTGGGAAAATTGGGCTGGGATTCTGTATTTTTTGCGAGAGAGATTTAATCTCGATTATTGTGTAATGAAAGTAAACAGCACTCTGACAGATAACGTGCGACTTTCGACTCGATCGACTTGGGGATCGGGGAAATTTCGGAAACAATTTAGAACGAAAATCGATCGTCTGTTTTTACACGTGAAGATAGCGCGAGCTGTTGATTACGCGCGCGCGTTTACACATACTGCGAAAACAATGGCAAGACACGGTGCGGAATAGCTGACTGGGCTATTGTTACAACTGTAACTGCGATTAGCATTTAATCCCATTTTCGGCAGACATACGGCGGGGAGGGGGAGGGCGAGACGTGAATTCCGCAATTGTGTGCCCCGGAGTTTTCCGCGGGAGCATCGTGAGAGAGGCAGCTGCGGAAGCAGAAGGAATGCGCATTCGCGGAATATAACGTCCGCCGGTGGTATTTAGAGTCTTGCCTGCAGGCACTTTCGAAGGTTTAATCGTACAATTTTCGAATATCTCGGTGAACGCGACTCTACTAGCCGTTGGCTATCATCGGTTAGATGTGCATTATATTGTTGCGCGCGTCGCGTTTCGATATCGAACGCGGGTCAATTGGAAGGAAAGGAGAGGAGATCAAATGTATACCAAAATCTACCTTAAATGTCTTACCTGGCGAAGGCACTTTTTATTTTTCTTTTCTGCGAAATGGACATTGTTATACTTAATTTATTAAAAATAATACATAATTTAGAATAAAGTTTAAAAGTGTAGAATTTTTCATATTTTAATTATACGAGATTACTCTCTAAAAGTAAATCAGCGTGTTATCACTGAAAAACAGTAAATAGTCATTAATTATAGAAGTTATAAGTACAGCACTGTAAATCAGTGATATTTTATTGGAAGAATCAGTTAATAATTTTGACTGTTTCAATCAGTAATATTTCTCAGTATCAGTAATTTTCTTTCATTATTGTCAATAATAAACTACAATTAAACTACAATTCATCTCTCTATCTATTTCACGTCAAATTAAAAATTTTATTTTATTTATATTACATGCATATTGAACTTGCTATTTTAAGTAGATAACGAACGAACAATTTTCATCAAGTCGCCAGACATTTATTTGTCCGACTCATAGATTTGATTTAATATCTGAAATTAAATCGAAGTAATATTTTTAATTTTATCTTTCGCTCTTTGCAAACTTTATATGATGACTAAAACTAAATACGAAAGAAATAGTGTAATAGCATTAAACGGACGAACTAGCGATTACTGGTTTTATAGTGAATTTTATTTTAACTGACCATAATCAGTGAGATATAAATAAAATAAAATAACAAAAAAAAGCGTTTCCACTGAAAATCAGTAAAATATTCACTAATTCTCAGTGAAATCTTATTTTACTGTTTAAATTAATGATATTTTCACTGATTCACTTTTAAAGTGTATTGAATAATTTTGTAAAGAAGCTAATTTTTGCATAATAATTTCGCACCCTAATAATGTTCATAGCTTGTTCCAATATTTTTGCTAATCTTGAATATATTCTTATAAAACAGAATATTAAAAGTACTGTAAAAGTTTTGCAAGGCTTTGTTATTTGTGTAAAGCTTGTAAAAAAAATTAACTTCCCCCCAATCGCGACTTATACAATAATAATAATAATAATAATTTCGAATTGCGTAATAATGTAGACGAAGAAAAAGGTTTGGTTTGAAAAAAGAAAAAAGAACGAGGGATTCTTCTCCTCGTCTTAATACTCGAATTATATTTTACATATGAATAGCTTTGATCGTATAAAAGAACATTAGGATATTCAGACACAATCGAGACTCCGTTGTGGACACGAGGCTTTCCGAGTCTGGCGGCATTAACGGCGAGGCCACGTCGGGCAGAGATAGAATCTTCGCTACCTCTCGATCTCTCCCGCCCACCTTTAGTAATGTGCGTGACTGCGAATCGGCTCACGCATACGGGCACGCACGCACGTATGCCTGCACGCACGAAATCGCGAGACTGGAGGTTAACGTCAGAAATCCCTCGCACACGCCAGGTCTACTCTTTATGATGTTAAGTGGCGGTGGAATCGCCGCCGAGAAGCGGTTTCGCGCGATTTATTTGGAATCCGCGATGAAAATAAAAGCGCGCGCGCGTTATTTGTCATAATTGAAGCAGCGGCGTATAACTTAAGCACGTAACATGAGCGCACACACACCCGTGTAGCTATGTACGGCGTGAGGTATTAATTATGTCATGATTCCTATATTCCTCTTGCCCGCGGCCGGCAATTAGAACGTTGCGCAAGCTTTGCGCTCGCGCTGGTTGCGCAATGCGAGACGCGGCAAAAGTCACTCCTCGCTGCCGATTCTCGCGCGAGACTGAGCGAC